ATACTTCAGGCTTTTGAGGAATGTTCATTTCTCTGTCATCATAGTATTTCATTGCATTAACGTTACATGTTTTGCCCCTCATAAGAAAAAACTACAATGACAAGCAGTCTACTATCCACCTGATTTTTAACGTAAGAGTGGCCATTTGTCATTTGAATGTGTGAGGCTTCCAGTGTCAACCACCTAGTTATTTTAGCTGTTTAAAAATCGCTTATTTCCGCGTTGCTAAATAAGGTGGATACTGTTATAAAGATTTCATTGATTTACACTACAAGCTGTCAGAATTTCATCTTACATTTATGGTGCGTTATATTATTTATCCGCGTCGGAGTTCCGACTAGGAAGACAGACGTTGCCTAGCAACACGCACCAACACGCCCCCTTTCCTCGGATTTTCCCGCTCGGATTTCGGACAATCGTGAGGACACCGAGCAAGAATTCTGATACGGAATCCAAGATGGCTGCGCCCTGTGTGACTTAGTATGAATTGTTTTCATTGTTTTTGGACCGCTTTGGTTGTTTAAAGCTCCAGTCCGTAACTTTTTTAAGTTAAAAATAGTCCAAAATAATTATATTAAAAAAAAACTTATTCTGCCAGTGGTCAAAACTATCTGCTTGCCATAGCTAGATTCAAAACGGTTAGCTTGTAATAATGATTTTAATTCCAGTGGTACTGGTGGGTTTCCGCGGGAAATTCGAGCATGTCTTTGCGTCATGACGTCACACCCGTACACATAAAGAAGGAGTTTCGGCTAGCCGGCTATACTGCGCGTGACAAGATGTTTAGATGTATAGGCTTTTCTCGCAGCACTTTACATAATTAAACTTATGGCATCCAGAAAGATCCAAACAACAATAATCAGTGTCATCAACTGGAGATTCAGCAGTTATAAAACCCAAAAGACTTCGTACTTCGGATTTAAGGTGGCTAGAGAAAGAGAAAGAAACCGTCTCATGCGAACACAAGGATTTAAACATCGGCGGGGCTTTTGAAAAGTGCTTGAACTCCGTGTTTTGAAGGGGTTCAAAACGGAAGAAGAGACGGCTTTTTTCTGCTGAACAAGTAAGACATTTCAATAGTTCAATCGTGTAACAGTACGTTTTCTTAATTCACAGTTATGGAGTTTCCTTTGTTGTGCCTTTCTCGTTTTGCTATTATGGAGAATATGAATTCTGAACTACACAGGTAACCATAAAACACATTAAATGTAACATTAGTCACGCAATGCTGATGTGATGTTGTTAACATGAACAATTTGAGAACAAAGTAGGCTATAATTTGCACGGTTGCTGTAAATCGTGTTGATTAAATCTAACGAAGCTTATCATGTCGAATGCTTTTTCCCCCTTAGTTGGTCAGAACAAAAATGGATGTTACTTACTTGTTCAGAAGACATTTTCTAATGAAAATTCTTATGTTGGTCAAACTTTCAAAAAGTGAATCTGTGATTCTGACAGTATCCACACAGCGCGGTGACTGACAGCAGCACTCGCCTCAAAACACTGTTCATCCGCGCTGTTTCATGCCGATTTACAACCCACGCAAAGATGATAATTCCGCGAATCACTGCAGTTACAGATTTCGAACAGAGAGATGGCGACAAAGAGGAAAAGATACGGACTGCAGCTTTAAATGAAGATTTTAATCACTCATATTACTGCAATACCTTACTGCGTCCGTATCACTGCCTGTGGGTATGGGAATCGGTCTTGTTGTGAGTGCAATATTGAATGAAGCCTTGTTTCAAACGGGTGTTACTAACGTGGCTAGCGTTGCTAACAGAAGATAAACTAAAACATGAAATAAAGTGAAAATTTTAGAAGTTCAAATGGCTGAGTTTTGATAAGCGCCTGGTACTCGGCCAGTGGTACCATAGCAACAGCTTTCCGGGTGGCGTCCATGTTTTTTCTCCGACTCGGACGCACAAAACATACCAGAACGCTTGAAGTGTGGAAATGGCGTCATATCCGAGGGCCGAGTCGGTTCGTTGACTATAATAGAACGCATCATTAGACCACAAAAAACATCAGCAACTGCACGAAATAGCTCATTTTTGCTCTGTTTGGGCAAAATTCAAATGTCAGCCTTTACAGGGTCAATGTCCGGTTAACTGTACACATGTTGCATGCGTTGTATTTCTGGATAAGCTTTGTGTGTGCATGTGTCCCAACAGTGTTCGCATGCCTCTGTGTGTTTTTAAGGTCAGCCACAGTAGCTGTCCACCTCCTGGGTTTGAGTCTTCCACTACTGTATGTCTCCGCATCCCATTCCATCTCATTCCCAGTCCCTCCCCTCTCCCTCCTGTTTCTTACTGCCTGCCACCGTCCTGTCTCTTCCTGCATCCATTCATCCATCCATCCATCCATCAATCCATACTCCGCTGACATCCCACAGACTGAATGATCTGTAGCACCACTGGCCAGGGTAACTGTGGCCTGCGTATGGTGAGTATGAGGGGGAGGATCATTCAGATGTGTGGAATTCAAAAAGAACATCTACAATTTCTTTTTTTTCACCAACAGCTCGGTTCCGAGTGTGCAAACTACATAGGCAGCTATACCTTCTAATAAAGCATTATTATTATGTTGAACCTCACACAAACCATTAGAAACCCTTCTGATATGCTGATTTGGTGATTTAAGGAACATTTCTTTTTAATATCAATGTTGAAAACAGTTGTGCTGCTTAAAGGTGTAGTAAGCAATCTCTGCAAAATGCTGTTGAAAATTTAAATCAACAACTAAACAAACAATTGTGTGAATATTTGTTAGTGTATGTGTTTGTTTGGATGTCGATTTTAAATGGTGTGAGTGTTTCTCAGAAATCGCTGTGATATTTGAAATTTTTGTGGAAACTGCTAGATCTTTTTCAGGATTCTTTGATGAATAGAAAGTTCAAAAGAACATTAATTCTTTAAAATAGAAATCTCTTGTAACATAAATGTCTTTAATTTGATCAATTTCTATTGATTTACTGTAAACGTACTGAATGAAAAATTGTTTCCCTCAATTTTGTCTGAATATGAGAGACTTGGCTATTGGAAATTGATTCCAGTCTGATGTTAGCATCCAGCTAAGCTAATGAACAAATAACAAAAAATGTTAAGTTATTTTAGAAACTGTTTTCGATTGATATTGTTGAATAAAAGTAATAACATCTAACCTTGACTAAAAGTGAATAAATGTTATTTTGAGTGAGAAACGTCTTGCTTGTTGTAATACGTGTAATACCAACTGACTGAATTTGGCCAAGATTTTAAGGCAAAACACATTTCTTATAAGGTTGAAAAAGAAGCACACCTGATGCCTCATTAAATGCAGACTACTTAGGCAGCTCACTAAGGTTTGGAACAGAGCCGATGTGTCTCAAGTGTGTTTAAAGATCCTCGGTTCGCGATTTTGCATGGTCTTGCAAACGTCATGGATGTTAAACTTTATTTTTATTGCCTTCTTTCATCTTTTTCCAGAGGTGAGCAACGGAGTCAGCAGCGATGAACCATACATGGAAAATGGATTTAACTACTACACCAATTAAGGCGTTGCTCATTGACTCATGGAGCGAAAAAAAAATGCATCACATCCTGAACCAACTTGTGGTGTATACTCCGAACTGACTACTGACTTAACTCTTAGTCTACTGGTGATGATGGACTCTTGTACAGCCCCCCCCCCCCTCTCTTTTTCCTTCCGCTAAGTTGCTTGTTCTAAATTCTGGACAATACAGAGAAGTATGAAGTGTGGTTTTTCTGACTATTACCAAATCTGTGGCCTCTTCCCCCACGTAACGCTTGAGGATGCTGGAATGCCTGTTACTTGCTTCGTATTGCAAGCATGCCTGTGATAATATAGTGGATTTTATCTATCTATCGGTTTTTGGGGATTTAATTTTTTTCTAATCTTCCATAGCCAGCCAATGTGGAGTATAACGTATATAATGCCAGCTTTTTTTTTATTTCTAGACCTTGATTTGATGTGATATTCACAGTCTAATGATGCCTTCTGTTCAAACGGTTGTAAATTTTGTAGAACTATCAGGTGTTTACAGAGTGCCTGCCTTTAGCCCTCCAGTGATATTTACCGTGTTTGACATTCCACCTATTTAGCATGTGGTTCAGTCGTCATTTTGAGAGGAAATCACCCAGCCTTATCATCTTGGTCGGTATGATGCCAGAATACATGGAACATTTAGGCACATGCTCTGCATACATACCAGTGGTTTGATTCAAGAAGAACAAAATAAATCCCCTAATTAGTTTGGAATGGGGGATTACAGAAACCAAAAGTTAAAGTTTAGTTTAGGCTGTAGTTGAACACTGTTTATAAGGAAAGCTGGCTTGGAGTTTCGACGCCGTGCAATATTACTTGGACACTGTCCTATAATAAAAAGTGTTTGAATGTTGTTCAGTGACTTTAATTTTTTCAACTATTAAATTATAATTTTAGCGTCAACCCTCTTGTTTAAGTAGCGTTTCATGTATTGAATACTTTGTACAGGGCTTCCTGTTGCTGAGGTGCCCTGACCCCAGACTTAATATTGTAAATGTGAGATGTGACATTGTTTACAGTGGTTGTGCTGTCACACAGAGGACGGGGCTGAACGATTGTGCTGGTTGATGTTTTTATGATGTGTTTCAGAGGTCAGTCAATAAAAAAGAAACTCGGACAGTGTTTGTATTTCTTTGCACAGTAGCAAAAGTTAAAGGATTTTAATGACATGAAATGGTACAGGACTTTTACAAAAATAGAATTATAATAATTCAATATTTTGAACAGAGTTACAGGAAATGTTTGGATATGCATTCACACTGATAAATGTATCATAACTTTTCCCTTTTGTCTTGTTTACTGTGTTCTGGACTCTGACATAAAGTGCAATAAACTTAAGTTCACACTTTGCATAATTGATTTTCACCTCCAATATTGAGCGTTTAGCTTTTTTTTTTCTCATAAGGTTAAATATACTTCAGATTTTTATAGAATGTGAAACTAAGCATGAAATATATATTTTAATCTAAATCTTTTAATTCACTTAAATTGTAAAAAGTTTCAGTTTGAATATTTCTTGAACTTAATACCACATTGGTCATGCTGGTACATTTTAGATGATTTGTATTTAACAGTTGGCAGTTACGTTTACTACACTAATATTTAACTCTATTAGAAAAACAAAAACTTGCATAAAAAGACAAGTCTTTTAAAATAAAATAATCAGACTATGCTTAGTCTATCAAACACATTTAAATGTGGAAATAATAAAAAGGCACAAGCAAAACTCCAGTAGACAGAAAGTGCTAGCTGTTAAGATAGCTAGCCTCTGCAAAATAAATAAATAAATAAATAGCTGAGACTGGAATGATTGTTCAGTTATATACAAACAGCTGCTTCCCTGAATACAACATCATTAAACCTGCCAAAACCAGTTGTAAAAGACTTATTGCACAGTTAGTACCAGTTAGGCACACAGATGGCAACAAACTAACCGATATTGTCCCAAGCAGACACTTGCTCGGGATAACAGAAGAAAAACATTCTCTCAATGCTATTTATATAATGAAGATCTAAATAAATACTCTGCATCTGTTCAGAAGATAAACATACAAATTGTAATTTGGGAAAACAACTCCAGACATTAAGAACAAATGGTCTAGTAACCATTGCGTTTGGCCCGATTCATTGCAAAGCTAATGCATTTGAGGAAGCAAAGACATTAAACATGTCGTTTAACCAAATTTTGGCTTGTTGGCACAGATCAGTCACGTGACAAATGCCCAAGCAGCAGTTCAAGTCTCTCAACCAATCAGCTGAAGTTGGTCTTGCGAAGGTGCCTGTTGGGAATTTCAATTGCGCTGACCTGGAGAGGCCAAGAGCCGCCCATGATGCCTGCCTGAATAGCCACCCCGGTCACCACGGCCAGGTCAGGGTCCACGGAGGTGTTCGGGTCCTTCCCAAAGTACTGACTGATGAGCTGTCTAATGCGGGGGATCCTCGTGGATCCTCCGACCAGAACAATCTCGTCCACCTCCTCTTTCTCTAGATGGCCCTCTATGAGGACGGTCTCAATGGGTGCCAGAATCTTCTGGAAGAGATCCGCATTGAGCTCCTCGAAGAGTTCCCGCGTCAGCTTCTCCTGAAATAGGACTTTTTCCTCTCGTGCTCCATTCTCTCCTGTTGTCTGCAGGTGAAGAGGAACTCGGAGATGAACTTCAGAGTCCTGGGTGAGGTTGAGTTTGGCGGCCTCGACAGCCTGTCGGAGAAGGTGGATGTCTTCTTTAAGAGTAGGGGGCACGCCGTACTGCTGCCGCACTCGCTCCATGGAGAACTGCAACAAACGCTGGGTGAAGTCCTGCCCTCCAAGCTTGTTATTACCTATGGAGATAAAGACATGTGTTAATCCAGTGCTGAAACAGGATGAGGCTTGTGCACCTGATGTGGTATCATTTCCATGTGTGTTAAATGTCAGTGAGGTTTCAGTGAGAGTATTACCCAAAACCTTGCAACCTAAATACCCATTGAGGTCAAACCACTGAGCCTGGGGAAAGATGTGTAGGCCCATGTAAAAACAAAGTTCATGACCAAGGTACCAACCTCCATATTCTAGACAATGAATTTCAATGATTTCCCAGTAATTTGTGATGACCAGAAAAGTATTGAAATAAATAACTTTATAGAGATAACACTCTAAACTGAGCAGAACTAGAACAAAACTTGACTAGAAATTTCCATGATATTTAAATTTAACTCTGACATTAAGTACAATACAATTAAATACAAAGTAAAAAGCAATATTCAATACACCCACATGAGATGTTCTATAGAACAAACAGTTTTCTATAGAAAGTGTATTAAGTGGTATGTGTCGCCCCCTTCAATAAATAGATTCCACCATGAAGAAATGACGGGGCAGGTGGTGTTTCACTAAACGTCAGAGACAATCCTCACACTCATTGGCTGCCGTCTCTGTAGATACGCTAGTCACGAAGAGTAAAACAAAAATTAAAACCATTTTTAAGAAAAGGTATGAGTCAAAACTAGGGTTGCCGCGGTGAGAAAAATTTCCCACCGGTTAATCGACGTGTCACAACACCGGTAATCCCGGTGTCACCGTGGGGGGCGGGGCGGGGGGAATTGCTTTTAAATGCGTGCGCGTTATACTTTCACTTTGAGATCGGTGAGGAAAATTTCCCACCGGTTAATCGACGTGTCACAACACCGGTAATCCCGGTGTCACCGTGGGGGGCGGGGGGGGGGGGGGGGGGGGGTGTTAAATAGCTTTTAAATGCGTGCGCGTTATACTTTCACTTTCGAAATAAGCGTCAATTGGCAATTCAGCGTCAATTGCTTGAATGGACAAAAAAACAACAACTCGGCTCGCTGATAATAAAACTTTTATTTATAGACAGAACTTTTATTAGCATAACGAACGAATAAAAATAACCCCATGCATAGGCTGAAAATCGTCAAACTGTGGGCACAAACAAATAAGAACCATAAAACGTTTATTAACGAATAAGAAAATAAAACAGGCCAAAATAAATTACACATTCCGCTATTATCTTGCTTTTCTGTAATTTGACTCGTTCTCATCTCCACACGTGCTAAATGGAATCCTGATGCTTGCTGATCTGTGACGTGACTGGCTCTTGGCACGCACTGCGCAGTTCAGTTTTTAATTAGGGATGCAACGATACCGCTTTTTCAAAACCGATCCGATCCCAAAATTCTGAGTATCGGCCGATACCGATACCAATCCGATACCAGTGCAGTTTTTTTTTTTAAATCAAGTAAAATTTCTATAACTCTGTGTGTTGAACTGATAATCACTCTTTTGTGTGTTAAACACAATCTACTTAACACAGACAACTTAATTTTAAAGAAAAACAACAAATCCAAAAAATATATGATCATAATCTGTGACAAAAATGCTATAATAAACTAGATTAGTGGATAATTCAGCAGTGCAATTTAGTCTAGAAAAATCATGAGTGCAAAATAATTGTATCAAATCTGAACATTTAGTGAAGAAAATTTAGGGGAACAAATAAGAGACAATAAGTGTAACACTAAATCTGGTCAAACATTACACATTGCTCTTTGTATTGTTGTAAAATACATTCATGAAAAACAAGATAACAAAAATCAAAAAGATAAATTATTATATATAGAGCCTAGCCTATAGGCTAGGCTACTATAAAATTGAGACATGTTTTAAATGTATAGCACAGCTGTTTAATGAGGCAGCAACATATGATAGATAGGACAGAACAAGAAAGGCTATTAATAATCTTTCATTGCGCAAAAGTAGTATGATATGATTATGAAGACTCCAATACAGTGCGGCACACAGCGCATATGCGCATCTCGAGCGCAGAATGATGCGCTTGAAGCAACAGAGAGTCACAGCGCGCAGCGCGTCGAGTCCACATTGAAAAGTTCAAAGCACAAAGGAAAGACATATCGATGCGTAGTGTATTATACACAGTTATCTATGCAATCGTTTATTGAGCCTTTTCTTTTAACAGTTTTAAATTTCAGTTACTGTGCGCGTGAAGAACAATTATAGTGCTCTCTGACTCTAGGCTAGTGTTGCGATCTAACAGACGCCCGGTAGAAAGTAACATGATTTAGTTACAGCAATAAAGTCCAGCAATATAAAGTTGTTTTATGCTTAACCATAGACCTTTATCTACAGATCAAGTATAATAATAGTAACATTGAATCATCTTGATCTTGGAGAGTTTCATCGTGTTGCCTGTCGTAACAGAACGCGACGCGCTGTTAAATGCTGAATGGAGAATGACTGACAGCCGCAGCGGAGGGAAAAAGTTTACGTGATCTTGAATTTAATGACTTAATTTTTATCTCACATTATACTATATAATGGCTTCAGAACACTTATAACATAGTGCACGAAAACTTTATGGTACTTGATAATGTTTTTGTGCCTTTTGTGGGGCTTAACGATAACACAATAATACGCACAATATCGGATTTGGATCGGCCTCCTCTGACCGATACCCGATCCGGCAAAAATGGCAGTATCGGAGCCGATACCGATACTGAGTATCGGATCGATGCATCCCTATTTTTTATTATAATGTATGCTCTCTTCTGAACTAAATAATTGATAATTATTTTTAATTAATTCAAATAAATATTTTAGCAAAAACGAATACTTTAAAAAAAGTCAAGACATCGCGGTGTTACGGTGGGAAAGTGATGTCACCGGTGATGGGGCTTAAAACCGGTAACACCGTCAACACCGTCTATCGCGGCAAGCCTAGTCAAAACGTTTAATTATTATGCATGTCATATATAATTGGTCTATAAAACGGCAGACGGGCTGAATGAAAATGCAAATTCACAGTTTGGCAGTAGGTGGAGATTATGGAAAAGCAGTGCGCTTATAAACCACTGTATTAGGTATTATAGGGACGTCCCGCGTGACGTCACGCCATTTGGAGCAGCCATCTTGACGGAATAGAAAATGCTAAACCGCCGGTGATAATACAGCTCGTCGCGAAATATTCCTATCATGTCCGAGCAATGCTGTGCATTTGGATGCGATCAGATACGTGTGATCATACAAAAGGAATATCTTTATACCGTATCCCAAAAGAAACAAAACGGAGAAAAGTGGTTGGCGGCAATAAACAGGCAAAACGCATGCATGCATTCCTAAATCAGTTAATTCGTTAGGCGTATTATCACATTACATTCTTTCGTTTTCAAATACCAAAAGCTGATCTTGTATTTTATTTGACACTTCTTATAAATCGTTAGAAACACAGGTTGAGACAGTCTCAATGACAGTATCATACTACAGTGACAGTCAGAGTGATAAGTATAAAAAAGTTAAGCATAGGCTATTATTTCGTTTTTTTCTTGGATCAAACTAGAATAAACAAATTCATTAAAGATACACTTAATCTTGTTGGTGATTTTGTTTTGTGTTTTTCCCTGTAAACTCAGTTTAAAAATTATTACAGGTACTGTAATTTGGTGATAAAAATACATTGACCAACCTTTGCGGTGATGATTGAAAAATCATTTTCTTATAATGAAGCGTGATGGGAAGTGAATAAGGTAGCTGTAATGTCACCGAACTCAATGTCAGGAAGTTTTTCTACACATTTAATGCCTGTAAAAAGAACTTCTGGTGCTTCATATGGATATATGATTCCTAATTCCTTTATCTTCCTCTTGTATATTTATTTTTGTGATGCTAATAATAAGTGCGATGACATGACGTGGTGGTGGGAAAAATCGATTCTGTTCTTCCACCATGATTTTGCGCATGCAATTATATCAATACTGTAGCGCAAAGTATTGCAATATTTAGGCTAATTATACTAATAATTATATTATTAGTATAGTAATATACTAATAATTATATTATTAGTATAATACTAATACTATATATTGCCCACAGCAATGGATCTATGAGTAGCCGACGGATGTATTCCGTCAAAATGGCTGACATGCGGCTAGGGGTCACGTGACTGGGAGATCCCTATACAGAGGTAGGATGAAAAGAAAATGCCATGGAAAGTTTTCTGAGACCGTTCTTTTCAGACATACATTCATATAACAAAAAAGTCCTCGCGTGTATAATTCATAATTAAATTAATTGTGAAGTGGTATAAATGCAAAAATTACTTAAGAGTGCAAAAAAACATTAAAGTTAAAATAAAATAATTAAGCTTCCCCCTCGGTCCGGTCACAATAGGCCAGGTGTGGTTGCACCAGTTGCACCCTAAGGACAGCCCTGGCCTGTTGACAACCATAAACAACTATACATACACAGTTAAGCAAGTAACAAAGTAATCCTGCCCATTAATACCACAAATATATATCTACCACAGTAAAATCTCTGTGCTGACACATTTATAATGTCAATCACAATCAGACTCACCTGCCATTGCTCTGGTGAGGAACATGCCACCCTGCTTATTGAGAAGTGACACATCTAGTGTTCCTCCTCCAAGATCCACCACTAGCACATTAAACACTTCTGCCTTATGCAGTCCATAGGCCATCGCTGCCGCCGTGGGCTCGTTGATCACCCGCAGAATGTCCAGCCCTGGATAAAAGAAGAGATGCACAGTGATTGATCATTTTATTTAACTATTGATCATTGAACAACAGAACATTATCAACAGGCTATTTTCAACCATTTCAATAGAAAGACCTTAAGCTGTCACACAAGGTGCGGTGACATTAGTGAAATTTCAGAAAAATTTCGTGTGCAAAAAAAGATCAATTATCAATAGCGTAGAGATGTATGGAAGAAATTGCAGAACAATATTAAATGTGACCACACCTGAAAGGGTCATGAAACCCTAAAACACATTTTTTTGAGATGTTAAAGGCCCCCTGAAATCAAAATATATGTTTTGTAGTTTTTAGTATGAATATGTTAGGATTAAGGTTATGAATAAGCTGGTGTGTTCCAAACCAATGACAAAATCCACATTTAGGAGATATAAGAATTCAAAACTTGCAGTCCCTCACTTCCGCTACAATGGATCACGGATTTTTATGACGTCACAGCGGACTTCAGCTTCTCATCACATCTTCTGTCCAATCAAATGCTCTCTAGAATGTAAAGTGTCCCGCCCCCTACGCTATAAATACCACCTGATCAAAGCGACCGTTCGTTGACACTGACACGTCACGGAGCAATATGGGGTTTTGCCAGGGTCGATATTCTCCCGGCCACTATTTGAAACAACTCGCGGCACGGATGTACATTATACAACTAAATAAAATATCTCCAGTTAACTAGCAGGGCATTCATTTAGTTTCTTTTGTCAAATAAGAGGCGTTCTAGCGCCGAAATTCACCGGACACATTCTGGCACGGACACATTCCGGGTTGGACACGGTGTCCGGACACATTTCGAGACGGACACATTTCATTTTTCATTTCCAGAATTTTCATTTTTGGGTGAACTATCCCTTTAAGGACAAGCGGCAGCATGTTTACTATTAGGCTACTGTCACTTTAAGACTGGTACACACCTAATATACACGCATATGACACGCAGCCAATTTCTCTCAAATGTTTGCTTTCACCTTAGACATAACCAACTGCAGTTATGTAAACCGTGTGTGTATTTGACAGTATTAACCCAATAAGACTCGAAAGATAACTTAGTCCAGTAACCAGGCGCTGCTTGACAGGCTTTTAGTGCCTGTGCGCTTCGGGTGTACAAGCTCAGAAAAGAGCATGTTAGAACAGCGCATCAGCACGCGAATGAAATGTTTAACCGGCAAGGCTTTAAAGCACATGCAAATAATGAAATTTTGTGAACTGCAGTATCCCGTGAGTGTAACTCGACCTCTGCGTTAATGTGATGTGAATGTACGTCGCAATGTACAGTATGTAGAGACGGAGGCGCCATAACTGAACTGATAGAATGCACTGTAACACGATACCACGAAATTTCTTCAAAAGCAGATCGTGGAGACATTTTAATCATCCAAAATCACAAAATCGTGATATCGCTCACCCCTAATTCAAATGTCCCGAGAGACCGGTTCAGCGCTGTTCCTTCACCCCTGCCTGTTCAGCTGTGTTGTTGTCCTTCAGGCACATGTGTCGTACGTGTATGTTCCCTCAGTAACACAAAAGTGCTGTTTGCATTTCCCCGAGATATGTTTAGAAGCTGGAGTGCGACTGCAAATACATGGGAGATATAATGGCTGTAACAATATGCGGAGCACGGATGAGAGCGTTTTTTTTTTTGTGTGTGGAACGCCGCAATAAATATAAATATTTAGCTACAAGAGAACGCTCATATTTTAATATTCATTATTCTGTATAATGAGTGTGTTGTAGGTCTGTGTTTTATTGATTGTTTTCTCCCCTCTTCCCACAGCTTTACACGCCCATTTCTTGAGTCTTTTTCAGCTCTGAGGTGTGAAGGACAAGGCTAAAACATGGGAGGGTTTCATGACACTTTAAGAAGCGAGCAGTAAACTGACCAGCTAGGTTAGCAGCTCTGATGGTGTAGTTTCTTTGCCTCTCATCAAACTCTGCCGGTACTGATATGATGGCTTTATTAATAGGAACTCCCAGTTGCTTCTCCGCCATCTTTCTCATTTTGAGGAGGAGACGGGATCCGATGAATTCCGGAGTAACTGTAAAGGTGCTGTTTGTAGAGACTAAGAATTCTGCACTCCCATTGTTGAATATCACCTGTAAAATAGTAAAAAGAAAATGTCAGAGAGTGATGAATGTAAGACTGATGAATGAATGTAATGTATGAAATGTGTACCTTAAACGGGTATCGTGCACTCTCTCTCTCTAAAGTCTCTTGGTCAAAAATCTTCCCTATAAATCTCTTGGCATCGTAGATTGTGTTTTGAGGATTTGTGTCAGACAATTCCTGGGCCTCATGTCCAGAAAACACGCCGGTAGGGGTGAACGACACCACACTCGGGATGCTTTTGCGACCTTTGTCATCTTCAATAACCTCAATATCGCCTGTGCCGGGGTGAAACACTCCCACTGAGCAGAACGTAGTCCCAAGATCTAACCCAATGACCCTGGGCTTCGGAGGAGGCAGGTATTGCTGTCCCAGATATCCTGCTAGGAATAAAGCCAGGATGACAGAACCTGTAGGGACATACAAATATATATGACTGGTGAAAAGAAAAGAATGGTGAAATCAGGCAATGAGCTCCCTTACAAAAACGTATTGTGGTAACTTACAGTATCAGATGGAAATAGCATGATCATTTTGTTATACCATACTAGTATACTATTGGTTAGGCTACCATATGTATATGCCGTTCATGAGCAATTCAAAGGATAACGTTAACTTATAAGTCCAAAAACATGGTATGTAAAAGAATATAACATGGAAAAGACCACGATGCCGTTTGGTAGGGTGCCTATCAAAACAATATTCCTGAAGGAAGCCCAAAATGCTGTCTAGCTAACTAGGTTTTGAGACACAGCCGCTGTAACAACTGTAAAATAACTTAAAGAACGGAAGCCGAACAAATCTGCTTATGTTTGAGTCCGACTGCTTTGTCTCACGCTAGACAAGATAACTAACGTTAACTATCTGATTTGGTTTAAATCAATCTAGTTATCCACGTAACGTTACAGTCAGTTATTTGGGACTTTCATGCCAGATGCGTCAGTTCGGTTTCTAGCTAACGGCTAACGTACACGAAGGTTTCTTCGGTTAAATTTGACATGTATCTTGCCGGGTAACGTTACATTAGTTCAAATTAACACTCACCTATTATGGACATTTCTCCCGCCATGTCTCCAACACAATATGTTATGGATAACTGTACATGAGATGTTCATTCAGTTTCTGCGCCGACAGTACGAACACATACACGTCAACCTAATACGAGCTGTTGGGCTTTTGGGAGTTGTAGTTCTATTCATCAGCCTCACAGTTACAAAGTGATTGGAATTATCTCTTCTGTAAACTACATTTCCCAAAATGCACTTAAAACGCAAGCGGACTTTTGCACAATTTCCTGTGCGAACCCAGGGAATGAAGAAAATAAGTGCGTATGCATGGTACAAACAAACAAATAATGGTTATAATAATACCAACAATAATAATACATTTAAAACATTTTAAAATATGTAATTCTTGGCAAACCTGCATTTAAAAAAAGAGTAGCCTATTATTATTAATCAAATAAAAATATTTTTCCACTCTATTATAATATGTATCTGATCTGATACTATATTTTCCAGAGCAGAGATGTAAAATGAATAAATGTGGTCACAAACTTACATATTTCCTGCTACAAGATCGTAGTAAAATAGATTAAATGGAAAGATTGGGAACATTTTTTTTAAACTGACTTGCCACAGTGCCCTGTCATTCAAATTATGACGCACCTTTGCATTAATATAATTAAATATACATATAATACGATCTCTGTGCCTGTCCTATTCTCAGTTCTTACAGACTTGTTTAAAAAAACGTTCCTTTTCATTTTCAAAAAATAAGCATCCAATAATATCAGTAGCTTAAATATTAGAAAGCAGCTCAGAGAGGGGAGTTGCATATTATGGAAAGTGCTTTGAAACCAAACCTCCTTTTAAAGCACAGGACTTCTAGTCATCTGGAAACTTATCCAAACACCCACCAAAACCAAATAGTTATTTTGAGAAACAAATAGTTAATTTTAGCAGCAGTATCAAAGTGTACCTATTCCAAAATTAGAAACAAGAGAAAGCTGCAGAATAAATAATTTATTTTTTATCATTTTATAATATTATATACAAATCAGTCATGATAAACATTTGTAAAAGTTCCTCACACACAAGTATGGTGCATGGCACGAAAGTTCAAATGACATCTACATTGAACAGAAAAAGGTTACATCAACACAAAGCTGAACAAAAATGTGTAAATACAAAGCACAAGTATCTAAATGAAAGACTAACACATATTATAACAAAAGAAAACATAGTTCTGTTTGTAGTTTACCAATAATTATATCAGTATAGAGAGACATTAGTTAATAACTAGTGAGTGCCCCTCAACTGTCAGGACACTCTGCTGGAATAAAACAACCCGAGTCTCTGGGACAGTCATTATCTTTGTCTTCCTCTTCATCGCCCTTCATCTCTCCCTCTCCATCTTCTGTAGGTCAAAGCACAGAAAGGTTAAATCCCTCATACAAACTCCTGCTCGTTAATTTAATCTCTGCCAATCAAATCAGGTTTGCACAAAACCCCAAATGAAATTAATGTTAATTAAATGGCAGTATGTCTTCCTGGTTATTATCCCACACTCATATCAGCCAGAGCAGCCCAACCATGGGCCACCTGCTCACACAGTGAGCCCACATCCAAACAGCAATTAATCCTGGAAAGGTCTGTTCCTGACCGCACAGAGCGCCATGGATTAAATTAAAACAGATAAGGTTGTGACATTCAATATTACAGGACTTACAGTCTAACTCTAGTGTTTCAAAAAGGCAGAATTTCATCCAAACACAAAAATAGACGATGCAAAGATAGCAGAATCTATGCCCTTCCTGAGGCTTGCTGACATAATGTTTCCTGAGATGGACACAGAGAAAACCAAAATATGGTTTTGCCCACAGCTGTCAATCAAATTGGTTGTATTGACACTTACTGCTTGTGACATAGAGGCAGTCTGAAGCAGCAAGCAACTTGTGTCTGTGTTCTGGATCAGTCACATTCAGCTCAATCAAATGCCTCTCTTTCAGATGTTTGAGGTCATCTACTGTCTGGTAGCCATTCAAGAGTAATGAAGATGCATATTCCTGTGACAAAAGAGATTTTAAACATTAAAAAGTTGCAATACAGCTTTAAACTGTCCAGTTGAGGACACATTCATGGACATTTATCATGGAAATATATAAAATGCATTACATCTGGCCAAAAAAAGTGTGCAGTTGATTCTAAACATATGTGTCCATTGGAGTAGATACTGTATGAGCAGGCATTTTCAAATCATTCTCTATGGGAGCTAAGCGATTTTTTTGTAGGATTGATATATAGTGGTGTGTACAAAGGGTGAGAGTCTCAAAATGTTGTGAGTATACGTATGCAAAAAAAAAAATTGTGAAATACAGAATACAATAATTAAAATAGTGATAGTTCACCCCAAAATGAAAATGCTGTCATCATTTACACACCCTCAATTTGTTCCAAACCTGTAGGAGTTTCTTTCTTCTGCTGAACACAAAGGAAGATATTTTGAAGGGCACCATTGACTTCCATATAGTATGTAAAAAAAAAAATACTATGGAAGTCAACTGTTTGGTTACAAACATTCTTCCTTTGTGTTCAGTAGAACAAAGACGTTTATACCGGTTTGGAACAACTTGAGGGCGAGTAAAGGGTGACAGTTGAGGGTGACAGCATTTTCATTTTTTGGGTGAGCTTCCCCCTCGGTCTGTTCGCGATAGGCCTTGATGTTTCTATGTTTCTATGTGTGTTCATGTGTATGTATGTCCTGTCTGGTTATACCTCTAAATGCAGTCTCTCTAATAACTCCAGAAGTGTATTTGGTCGTGGATTCTTGCATACTTTCACAGGTCTTATTTCCGGGGCCTCATCCTCTTCCTCCTTCTCTTTCTCGGGCAAAACATCCACATAAATAAACTTGAAATTTCCCACTTTATTATTGAGCATTCCAGTCCATATGCCCATAGGTGGTTTACTTATGATGCTGATGATGTCTCCCACCTAAAAAAAGACCGCCGACATCATTAACTTCCTGTTGGCAATTTATGTTTTAAATTTGTGCTGATTAATTCAGCTCACCTTCAGTTTGAGTGAGTCTGTATCATATGGGCTGGGGACAAAGTCTGTATGAACTTTTGCTCGTCCACAGAACTGTCCCGTGTAGGGCATTTCCTCCTCCAGTTTCAGGCTGTCTCTGTTACTGGATACATCTGAATTGCTGGTCACACCACCTGAGCCAATAAATATATAAACAATAAGAGTATGATTACAATGTCAAAACACTTTGTAATGCAGTCACGTGTGTAGATACTTACTGGACGAGCTCTGTCCACTGTAGAGGCTTTCTAATGAGTTGCTGGTGCGGTCTGAGCTCTTCTCTGCTGGAGTCCCATTCTCCGTTTCTCCTTCATTGTCATCACCCTGCACCAATCAAAATATCAGTCTGGATATTCCTATCAACTATTCTGCAGATTTAATGAATGGGATGACTGGGGTAGTTTGGCTACATGGGTTCGTTTTTTTTTTTTGTGGGGTCATAATTTTAGGGTACATTTCTGGGAATAAGGTACTTAAAAAGGGAGATTGAAATTTAAATATATAGCTAATAGAGATAGAAACCAGTTCTCTGTATATAAGACTTGTAAGCCTTATAAGATGAGATAATAATAACGAGGCTAATGAGGGGGATAATACATCTTTATACATTTAAATGTGTCAACCCTATGGTTGAACAAACTGCTGATATTTTGGATAATGAAAAACGGAGTTGCCTAATCAGTGTCAGTAATTATATGAGGAACTTGCATTGTGACTCACCATGTCCTCAGAGTAGGATTTGACGTGTTTCTTGCCCATCCTTTTACGCATAGTCATCGAGATGGCCTTCATCTTTTTTCCCAGACTTCCTGGTTTCTCACAGTTCTCTGCTGCCGATTCACCCTCTGCCTGTTTTGTACACAAATAAACACAATATGTTTTATTAATCCGTCTGTATATAAGTATGTCGGTCCAGTGGTCAATTAGACAATTGTAACTGATTGTTTTGCAGTTAGGGTATAGTGAGAAGTATCTTGCGAGGAAACATAGCACGGGGCATAAACTCTTTAAGAGCAGATTAAAGTGTTTTATTCATCCAAATTCTTCTTACCTCAGGTGTTCCATTTTCCTCAAGTTTGGAAGGGGAGTGTTGATTTCTGAACGTGTCAAATCTCCCAAAACTGGTGGATCGCTGTAAAACAGAGCACATTTACAACACTGTAAAAAAATGATATGATCAATAAGTTATGACAACGTATGTTTTTACATTGCTTTAACTTTTCAAATTAAGTTAAGCAATTTTCAACTTTTTTTGTATGTTGTATAATATAATTATACTATATATAATTATAATGTATAATATAATTAGCTTTTTTTTTTTAAGTCAGTTTAATATAATTTAAGTTGAAATGACATAAACATCCAAGCTGATTGTACTTAAAAATGTACGCCAGCAAATGTTTTTTTTTTCTTTTTCTTTTTTTTTTTACAGTGAATAGATATAACATCAAAGCACATGTATGTACATTACTTTGTATAAAACAAAAATGGTCATTATACTGTCCTTGTCATCAAGCACTTCAGGTCATTAAACAGCACTTGACGTGCTTGCACTTGATCATTTTAATGTAATGTTTTAAATTTGATAAAAACACTGATAGATTCCTAATCCGCTCAGAACCTGTCAGCTCTTCCACAGGAAAATGACAAATAATTATCTAAATTAAAAATCCATGTAATCTCATAGCAAACTGAGTTAACATTAGATCCAACATAGATCAAGCCATACTTGTTCAGTAATGTTATGTGGTGTCAAGATGTATCGTTTTTTTTTTGCTACTGGGATATATGGCAACACTGAATATGATAACCTTCAAATTATTACCATTGTTAAGATACATTAATAAAACCTACCTTAGGTTTAAGACTTTTTGGTTTGTCTGATGCATTTGAAGCAGCCCTTTGAAGCATCGCTTTGATGTGCGTTCAGTTTTTTCTTAAAATGAAACTCTATTCTGAAACTATAGCGGTTTTACTTCTCTCAACTCCACAAGTGTATAAATTGCAATGCCTCAGCAGAACAACCGAGCACGAGAACTTCCTTAAAGCACACAGGATGTGAGCCAATGCGTGTTCTGTCTATTATCAAGGCATCAGTTTTACAGGGGAAAAACACTGAATGCTCGAGTCTGCATTTTGTGGTTTACCACTTCACAGTCATTTCGAGTAACACAGATTCACAAGTGTACACACACAGAAAAAAAGAATTTCCATAGAGGTGCTTTTTACATAATCAAACCCTCCTTGCACCATATCGATTTCATGAGGCCGTCAGATTATAGAATAAATGCAAGAATCTGTGCTTCTACTGTCTTTTATATAACTTTTATGTTTATTGTCACGTTCATTATTTCACATTATAGGAAAACCTATAAATATAGTCAAGTGAAAGCTTATTAATCAATATTCCTTTGCCCAAATTGCTAAATCTGGTTTCTGTATAAGGGAAGTAAGCTCCATGGCACGCAAAGGAAGTGGACCCATGCTTTTGAAATACTTCCCGTCTGCTTTCACAACTTTTAGTTAGGAATTTTTGCAAAACTGTACAATGAGTTTTATCTGGTATATGCAAAGCATGTAGGTCACAAGCTCTTTATACAAGTAAGCCAAAACCAGCAACATTGGTTCTACCAATGGCGTGAGTTAGGAGGTGTGACTGTTTGTTTGAGCGGCCAATGGAAGACGGCGAGAGTGTTCCGGAAACCTGTTTGAAAATAATCATTGTTTTTGCAAAATTACGCTTGGCAAGTTGGCATCGCTGGAGGCACTGAAATGGAAAACTTCTAATTTAAATGAACAAAGACCTTAATGTGGATTGCTGTTCGAGGCATGAACTGACCAATAGTGTTCAAGAAAACCTTACAGACAATAACAGCATAATCCAGCCGTGTGCAATCGGCCACAGTAAAATCCAAATCCAGGATTACAGCATTATAATCTATTTCTTCCAGCACCACAAGCCTTTAGAAACAAACAGCCCTTCCTAACCTTTTATGAGAGCTTCAGTTTATCTGAGAGTGATACAGTGTAGTAGTTCACCCTTACAAGATAGCCATATGAGAATCCAGGAAACAGGAAAGGATTATCAACTTTACACTGTCTATGTATATACCTTTAGAAAACACTAGAAGTCATTACCCTGAATTGTTTTAAGCGTGTGGAAACGTCACTGGTTGGCAGGCCAGGACAATCTTAGAGAGTCTTATATTGCAATAAGAACATCGGCATTCAGCACTTGATGGGAGGTTAACAGCTTGAGTTTATATCACATGAATTAAGCTTGGATGGATTGTGTATACTATATATAGAAATTCAATTTATTTAAGCGCTTTGCAAAGGCTATGAGACTTTGAGATGGAACCAATATTATATAAGAAGAGTTCAGATTCGTCTGACATGTTTTCATTTAACATTTTTAACATTTAACATGTTTAGCATTTTTTTTATCAGGCTCATATGTTTAGGTTCAGTCATTTCACTTTAATGGCAATTAAAAAAGTTATTAGTCCCTTATTGAAATGCCTTATTTTCATAAATGTCACTTTAGTCAATTCATTGGTTTGACAAAATGTAACTGTCTTTTTCTGCAAAATCAGCTAAGTTCATGAGTGTGCTTTTTTGCAAAAACCTTTGGACAACAAGACATATGAAACAGTTGCAAAATCACTACAGATGCATCTGGAAACATTGCAAATGACGAAAGCAGAATTCAAAATGTAACAATGAAGAAACTGATCCTCACAGTAGGGGGAGCTGTAAGTGACTGCCGCATCCGTTTCTGTCAGATTTTTACAGCAGCACAAGAAGGAACGCTGTTGTGTTTACTTGCTACTCTGAAAATCCTGTCATTGCCACTGTAACCATGGATAAAACATGATAAAAACTTGCAGCTCGAAAATTGAAAGCTGGCTCATAAGCACACCGTCATTCATCTTGAAATCATATCGTTTGATTCGCGTCTTCTGATTGGTTTCTGTGGACTTAGAGGATTTTGCTGACAAACGGAAATGGTGTTTAGCGGTTTCTGCCAAGGTACCAGTATTTCTGAATGGGCTGACGCTGGGATTTAGTGGATTTGAAACTAAAGTATTTGATGAATGTATACTATGTGTGGAGAGCATTTGCTTATCATTATCTAATTTTTGACGGAGGTGGCGTTAAGAAGGTGGCCTTTCGCAGCCGTGCGATATTCCCCCAGTATCAGCACTGGAACCGTTTAACCATTTGTATCCCTCCGCTTGCTAAAAAAAAATACTACCTTTGTTGTGTCACAAAAGAGTTTTTTTAGGCGAGGATGTAGTTATTTAGACCTCAAATATGTGACTCATATACACTCACCTAAAGGATTATTAGGAACACCATACTAATACTGTGTTTGACCCCCTTTCGCCTACAGAACTGCCTTCATTCTAGGTGGCATTGATTCAACAAGGTGTTGAAAGCATTGTTTAGAAATGTTGGCCCATATTGATAGGATAGCATCTTGCAGTTGATGGAGATTTGTGGGATGCACATCCAGGGCACGAAGCTCCCGTTCCACCACATCCCAAAGATGCTCTATTGGGTTGAGATCTGGTGACTGTGGGGGCCATTTTAGTACAGTGAACTCATTGTCATGTTCAAGAAACCAATCTGAAATGATTCGAGCTTTGTGACATGGTGCATTATCCTGCTGGAAGTAGCCATCAGAGGATGGGTACATGGTGGCCATAAAGGGATGGACATGGTCAGAAACAATGCTCAGGTAGGCCGTGGCATTTAAACGATGCCCAATTGGCACTAAGGGGCCTAAAGTGTGCCAAGAAAACATCCCCCACACCATTACACCACCACCACCAGCCTGCACAGTGGTAACAAGGCATGATGGATCCATGTTCTCATTCTGTTTACGCCAAATTCCGACTCTACCATATGAATGTCTCAACAGAAATCGAGACTCATCAGACCAGGCAACATTTTTCCAGTCTTCAACGGTCCAATTTTGGTGAGCGCTTGCGAATTGTAGCCTCTTTTTCCTATTTGTAGTGTTGTAGCTCATCCGCCTCAAGGTTGTGCGTGTTGTGGCTTCACAAATGCTTTGCTGGATACCTCGGTTGTAACGAGTGGTTATTTTAGTCAAAGTTGCTCTTCTATCAGCTTGAATCAGTCGGCCCATTCTCCTCTGGCCTCTAGCATCAACAAGGCATTTTCGCCCACAGGACTGCCGCATACTGGATGTTTTTCCCTTTTCACACCATTCTTTGTAAACCCTAGAAATGGTTGTGCGTGAAAATCCCAGTTACTGAGCAGATTGTGAAATACTCAGACCGGGCCGGTCTGGCACCAACAACCATGCCACGCTCAAAATTGCTTAAATCACCTTTCTTTCCCATTCTGACATTCAGTTTGGAGTTCAGGAGATTGTCTTGACCAGGACCACACCCCTAAATGCATTGAAGCAACTGCCATGTGATTGGTTAATTAGATAATTGCATTAATGAGAAATTGAACAGGTGTTCCTAATAATCCTTTAGGTGAGTGTATATTTCATAACACCTATTTTACAATTTGTTTAGACGTTTTCTCAGATGCAAACTCCGGCCGTTCAGCGCTCATTTACCCACAGAGAACAGCTTCACCTTGCCCAGTTCTTCAAGAATTTGCCTCTGGCTCTTATGTAAATAGTGGTTAAACATGAGATATAATTCATATTAAGATTACAATGATTTCTACTTAAAAATAATGCTGCTCTTTTTAACTTCCTAATCATCAAAGAATCCTGAAAAAATGTGTCACGGTTTACACACAAAATATTACGCAGCACAGCTGTTTTCAACATTGTTTCTTGAGCACCAAATCAGCATATTAAAATGATTTCTGAAGGATCAGGTGACACTGAATACTGAAGTAACGATGCTGAACATTCACCTTAGCCTGAATATTTCACAATATTACTGTTTTTACAGTATTTTAATCAAATAAATGCAGCCCTGGTGAGGATAAGAGACTTTCTTCAAAAACTTAAAAAAACAACAAACCTAAACTTTTGATTAGTTTATGTCAAAAATGACTTACATTGGGGGCACAGAAATCCACACTGGTTGTGGAACGCACCACTCCTTTGGGCAAGGAGTCTCTCTTTATGTTTCGAACGTTGACTTTATCTCCTTGACTTGGGATTCTGGATGTAGCGCAGTCACAGGTGGGGACATGATGTTCATTGTGGGGAGGTTGACAGGTGTTGTAGGCTTGGAACCAATTTACAGATGTTTCAGTGGGGTTACTCCAGCGATGCCTAGAGCGGGCTTTCTCCATGACCCTTGACCCGTCAGCAGAAATACAGTAAGTCTCCTGTTTATGTGACGGTTGCCCAATGTCATGCTTCATTCCTTTGGCACCTTTGATTTGAGCTTTGCAATAGACGTTAAAAAAAATCATTGTCTGTCAGTGACATTGACACAGAGCTTTAAATAAAAATCTTTGTTGCACCACAAAAGTAATTGGTATTGCATCAAGTTAATATGTTAATTTACCTGTTGTCTCTTGTGTTGGAGTTCCTCTTTGACTGCTTTTCCTCTCTACTTTTTTCACCCTTGTCCCTCTTGTCATCTCTGCATTCTCTGTCTCAGGCTGTTAAACGACAAAATAGTTAAATGACATTGTTATATTTTAATTTTGAAGGTAATTTAATTTATATAAAATAAAATACAATACAATATTTTTTTATATATATAAGATAAATATAATAATTTTATTTTATTCCACAACCTCATTATGCTAACAATATTCTCTGCAGTCTTCATTTTTGGCCATTTTACAGCTGTCACTGGCCCTTATGCTGGTGAACACAAAACAAATTTAGCAGTCTCGACTGAATCTAATCCAATGTAGGCAAAGGAATTACATGGGCAGAACGTGCCTCACACCCAACCATCTGTACAGACACAGTCAACCACAATACCCTTTTTGGGGACAACTGTTCCGGCCCCTATGAAATACATGACGATCAGTTACATTCCAGCTGGCACAAAACCACCTGGGTGGACAGGGTTTGAACTCACCGAGTCATTCTGTCTGCTGCTTAGCTGGTTTGGATCACACCCCTCATAATAGACAATCTACCAGTAAAAGAATGAAAAATTTAAATAAAAAAGTAATGCAAAACGTGTGTGTGTGTGTGTGTGTGTGTGTGTGTGTGTGTGAGTTTATGTATGCATGTTGATTGATAGTGAACAGGAGAAAATGCTACATTAAAATATATTGTTTCCATGAATATTTTTTTTTAAATCTCGATCATAATGTTTAAAACAAAATGTTGGTTTCTGACCTGGACAGGCATCTCTTGCTGTATGTTTCTTGAATTGGTCTTTCTGTCTGTTATTTTCTGGCTTTCAGCTCTTCTTTCAGCTCTCACTTTATCTGAAATATAAACACATTAATTGAATTAGTAAACAATAGTACTTAGCAACCAAGTCACTATGAATATTTTGCTTTTTATTTTGTCATTGTTTTTATTAGCAGAAGACTTCAGTACATAAAACCACGACATTACAGAATCTCTGATAAGATTTTAAAAAAATATTAACCAAAGCAGAGCTCAAAATAGTACATTCCGTATGAGAAAAGTTATGTGGCTTTGCACCTCATTTCCTGTTTTGCTTCTTCACGTATTTTGATGAGGGGAAATACCGGCAGGATATTTTACTGTGCTTAGTCAAGGAAATGTGGTGCATCCATACAGACAGGTTCAACAACATTATTAGCTTAAAATGACGTTGCACCATTTGAAATTCAGATTAGTGCAGGCTTACAATCTTTTCATCATCTATTAAAAATAGTAGTTATTAAAATATTTGAACATTGTCTTTTATTAAAAAAAAACTAAGATAAACTACATTTAACACTAGTTAGACTATGTTACGCTAATCAGGAAGACATGGACAGAATGTATATAACAAATGGGTTGACATAAAATACATGTGGGAAGTTGACATGTCCTGCTATGCTCCAGCTAAAACCATTTAGGAATGGGCTTATTCTTTAATCATCATTATGCATCTTTTATGAACCTAAAAAAAAATATTAAATGAGAGATTACATGGAATGTTTGTACTTTTACTTTCTGTTTTAATTTCTGTGTCACACCACAGGAACATTTAAAAGGATGATTCCTCGGCAGTAAAATAACAAAGAAACGACGACCAGCTATGAAATATACACTTTTCTCCTATATACATTTAAAGGTAGGGTAGGCAATTTCAGAGAGGCTAGCAATAGCAAGCTAGCTTTGAAAGCATAAGATCCCACCCTCCCTTTGGAGCGTCTCCAAAGTCACACCTCGTTCAAAACAGATGGACCCGTACAGCCAGAGCAGAGTCTGCAAAGCGTCACGATCCGAGAGATGGCGTTAAATGACTACAATAATAATGGATGTAAAAAGAGCTCTTACTTGTACCACCTGACTGCTAGATTCATTTCTGTGCTGATATAGAAACGCATAAATCCGAGTCTGAGGACGTGAACTGCTGAGTAGAATGCAACGGGTTGCCATTTCTCAATTACGGTAATTACGACATGACGTGAATGCAGCATAAGCTCGTTTTGGTGCAGGAGGAACTGTTAAAGGTGCACTCGGTGCGTGTCTAAAAAAAAAGTTGCTGCCTTAAATTTTTTAACTACAATCAACTTGGATGTTTAAGTCATTTCAACTTAAATTGCATTAAACTGACTTAAAAAACATTGTTGGATCTTGTAGGTATAACTTTCTAATTGCTTAACTTATAACTTATTGATCATTTAATTATTTACAGTGAGAGCCTCATGTCATGGAACATGCTTATGATGTGTGATGCCTGCAAAGGTATGTAAATACATATGTTGACAGGCAGGTAGGACATCTTATTATTGCACTGGACCAAATGCAATGATTGGACGAACATAGAAGATGTACATTTTGTAAAAATTTAGACCACTTCTAATATTGATTGCTATGTGATGAGAGTTTCAACCAGTATAAGAAAAAGTGTTTATTAAAAACATGGTTTTAATCTAAAATCTTGAATGTTGATTTAAAAAGTCCATGACACATTTTGTCAACTACCCGAGTACTTTGTCATTGAAAGTCCTCAGTGCCCTTAAGTCCAGTGCCCTATTTACAATAAAGGCCCTGCTGATTCTTAATTAATCCCATGCAGGACAAGCAAGTGCTTTAAGTGAGCTGATGACTGCACAACACTGTGGGTGTTGTACCCACTCTCCATTCACTGTGAATGGGATTTGACGCAATAAGGGTTTCTGATTGGCCAGTGTTAAGCGGCTGTTGCTTGTCTGTGTGTGTCTTCTAAATGAAATCTAGTCGGGCTTAACCTACAAATCCTCAGAGTGGTTTTACCTTCATTCTGGTGGTTCCTCAGGAGGACTAAATCTTCCTGCTTCTTGGCAGCCGGCCAGCCAGAATTAGTGCAGATGGTATTATCTGCAGGAGGGAAACACATTTTTTTTTTAGATTTATTCATTTAAGGTCCACCAGTGTTCCATGCTTTTACTTTTTTTCACTCTGGAAATCTTGATTTGGGGGAAGTAAATTTAGACAATCTTGTTTGTCCTGTCATTCATGTATATAATAACCTGATAAACACTGTACAAACTTTTCTTTGTTTGCCTGTCAGTCAAGCTAGTTTCTTTATTATGAGAGTGAAAGGACAAGGACAACAAGGGTGTATTATTGCAGCTTGGTCATGTGATGCAGAAGAAAGACGAAATATATCACATACCTAAAGCATCATTTTCAGAAACAGACTTTGGTAGTGACCTGAAAGTTGACACAAGAAAACATTTAATAAAATACAAATATTCAGTGTTTACATTTTGCAATATGTCGCTATATGGAAGCCACACGGGCCCTTTTACTTTGATTGGAAGTCTTTTTTTTTCACTAAAAAACACAGACTGATCTCACCTTTGTTTCTTTTTTCTAGTGTTGTCTGAATTGATTTGAGAAATTTCCTGAAAATAAATACAGTATGAGGCAGTATAAGGGTGATAAATTATTGTATATATGTATGTAAAATGTATTAATATGAAATCACATGCATGCATATGTTAACAGTTAACGTGTTCTCAAGAATATGCAAGCCTAACATTTCAGGTTTCTCTTTCACAAACAGACCTGAAATGTTAATATATTTCCATATGGTTTCAGTATAATCAGTTAGCAGCAGCTTTTCCTTTAATTGAAGCTCATGATGTCCACAGCACTGTTATAGCGTGCATCCAGATGGCTGATACATTTCCCATGACAGTGCAGTATGCATGCAACATTCCAGCAGTCATTTGTGTAGTTACCATGGAGATGGAACGCCCTGCACTCTTCCAGTTGGTGGTGTCATCTAAGAGAACAGCTGGACTGTGGGACCTGCTGGGGATGGTGTACACCTGAGCCTCACAGGACTCCTGCACGGCCTCGTACAGGCTGTCCATCGAGCCCTCCTACAAAAAAAAAAAACATGTCACTTACAATCTGTGCTGCTAATAAGCTAATAACGTTAAGTACAGTGTACTTATTACAAGGGTCTTTATCCCCTTGGTGGACAGAGAGACGGACCTTGTTAGTTACAAAATACCTTATATAAAATTAACCCCTGGTTTCACAGACAAGGCTTAAGCTAGTCTTAAAATATGTCAGTCCCATTGTTTTGTCTCAAGATGCAAACAAGTAATGTTTTTTCTAAGGCATGTTTATAACAGCTACTTAAATGTCCTTATTGAACTAAGGCCTATAATCCTGGCTTAATCTAAGCCCTGTCTGTGAAGCCAGGTCTGAGAGTTGCATTTTAAGCCTAGCCTTTATTAACAAGAATATAGTATTTTATTAATATAAGTTATATATTAATGTATTTGTATACATTGTTAAATAAACAAATCCATATACAGATCATTTAATTTCACTTTCTCAAATGTGAAAAAATTAGCTTACTTTAAGCTTCTCAACTTTAGCCTTGGTTTAAACGAAGGTCATGCTGTATTTTAGTTTAAAGCAATTTTTTGAACAAAAATTAGTTTGAGATCAAATAATTAATGCAGTACAACCACCAATTCCACTGATTTATAAGGGTACGTTTACACGACAACTTTCCCATGGATCTAAAACGACTAAAAATGCTGTATTATGCATGCCAGGCCAGTAGTTTGGGATGTCACTTTGTAAAGAAACATTACACGCATATAGACCTTATGGTGCGTTCACGTGCTATGGTAATTATGGTAAATACCAAAAGCCGACATGGAAAATGCACATGAACACCCCCTCATGTGGTATTTTCCACTGGGCAACTCGTAGAATATTTTGATGCACGAGTTGCCGAGATGAGATTACCTTTGACCTTTTCAAAATGGCGGAGAGCAACGCAAGAGTTGTGAATGGTAAAAATATGTACATGATCTAGAAAATATACAGCATATTATTTACCGTTTGAGTTTTGATAAATCATTTTCTTGCTGTAGCAGATGACTTAAGCAATCTAAAATAGTTTTAGCTAAATAACAGGTCTGGATCTCCATCTTTTTACCACATTACGACAACAAAAGCACTTGAACGCAACACACTGGTAAATACCAGTTCACAAGTGGAAAATATCGTATTTTCCATAGCACGTGAACGCACCATTATTCACAGCTGCGCCATCTTTATTTTTTAACGGGAATAAAAGGGAGGCTGTGTGGGATAGACACGCATCTCTTCAGTGGGTTGTACAGTTATTTCATGTGTTTTTGAATTGTTCTGCTGACGAAACACTGCAAAAATATATTTCCAAGAAATTTTAGTAGACAAAAAAAAAAAAAACTGTGGAAAAATGTGAAAAGAATTCTGAGTGATCTAGGAGCTTTATACAGCGGATGCCATTGAAAACACAATAATGTCGGGGACACACTTAACGACTAGCTGAAACATTCCAAGGAGCAGACTGGAGCAGATTTTAAACACCGACTGTGAACACTGACTGAACGCAATTGTCTCTGACTCAGCGCATTGTGGACATGATCAGTCGTAAATCAAATTACATTCATAATCGGCCTTATAGTCGTTAAGTGTGTCCGTGGCTTTAGTCTTTCCCTCACAGCCTTGCTTTCAAACCTGTAATGGCCCTGCTTTGAATAAGGTTTATAGACTGAACGTATACGACTGAACACATACTGTAAAACGCATGGGCATGACGTCACAGTTTTCACAAATTTGCATTTTTGTCCATTTTCAAAAGTTTGCAATTTCAGGCCCACAAAACGGCAATGTAGTGTAAATGATCGGCCAAAACGCATAAAAACTTTGCGTTTTGTCGTGTAAACCGCCTCTATATAGTGCATTCGAGTGCAAATCCATTTGCGCAAAAGATAAAACAAAAAACCAGAAGCATTATATTTCTTACAGAAAATCAGAGCAGCGTAAATTCAGTGACGCAAGACCACCATTAATCCTATATTGCACAAAACATCTGGCAGAGAAATTTTTGGAAAAGTCATTTCAAACTAAATTGCATTAAACTGAAAAAAATTGTTGAATCTTGTATAACTTATAAAAAAAGTTAGAAAATTGTTTAACTTAATTTGACGAGTTAAAGCAATGTAAAAACATACGTTGTTATAACTTCTGATCATATAATTTTTTACAGTGAATTTTTTTGTTTTATAAATAAAATAATAAAATAAATAATTAAAATGAAATTGAATGAGATATTGTGATACATAGTTTATCTTTAATGCACAGGCTACAAATGTAAGCCATAATACACAACACACACTGACTTGACTTCGTCACTATAAGGAAGCAAAACTAAAGGCCCTCCGAAAGCATGCAGCTAACGCATGGTTCCTGATCTTCATGCACTGTCAACCCTCCAGCAGTTCATGTTTCATCCACACACTGTCGATCAACAAACCACAGAGAAGAAAAGCAGAATCACATCTTACCAGAGAGAAGCAGAAGAGATTCATTCTGGGAAGTATGGTTTCTTTCCAGTGCCCACAGCATAGGATGAACAATGGGACGAGGCAGGCAGACAGAGAGCAGAGTGCTTAGTGTTCCAGACTGCCTCCTGCTCCACAGATTAATACTGAATGACATCCTTTCTCTAATCCAATAGATGTGGAGGACCATTACCACTCCAGGCAGCCCCTATATCAAGTGCTGAGCTTGTTAATGCTGATGTTGTTTACTTAGATAGAGAAGTGGGTTGAGAGCTTTTGTTTGGGCTATGACGGAGTCATAGTCAGAACAGTCGCATAGCGTTGGTAGATTCCAGTCACTAGTTTAATCTAAAAATGTGATTCAGAGGCATCCTGTCTTTACACAGGCATGTACAAGACTAAAGCTCTGAGCATCTCTGATGCTGATTTGGTTCTGTGTAAATTTAAATGTCATATTTTCCTTTATAGTTTTCACATTAATAATTAACATTATTTCTGAAATTATTATTTGTGGATGCTCCATTCACATACTTCAGGCCAATTCTTGTAACTAAAAAGAAACTTGATTATATTTAATATTTTATTACTGTATTTAGTATAAAATATTTTATTTAGCCATATGCTCCCTAAAATATAAGTCACTTGTTTATTAAACTATGTAAACGTAAATGTATGTGTGTGTGTATACACACAAACTCAGCGGCCACTTTATTAGGTACACCAGGATGGACCCCCTTTGGCCTTCAGAACTGCTTAAATTCTTCATGGCATTGATTTAACAAGGGGTTGGAAACATTCCTCAGAGATTTTTGAATCCTCAGAGATTCCATATTGACGTGATAGCATCACACAATTGCTGCAGATTTGTCGGCTGTCGCATCCATAATGCAAATCTCCTGTTCCACCACATCCCATAAGGAACTCTATTGGATTGAGATCTGGTGGTGACTGTAGGCCATTTGTGTGGTCATAAAGGGATGGACATGGTCAGCAACAACACTCGTTTAAATTTTCATTTGGTACTATGAGGCCAAGAGTGTACAAAGAATATATATCCCCCACACCATTACACCACCAGCAGCAGCCTGAACCGTATACAAGGCAGGATGGATCCATGCTTTCATGTTGTTTATGCCAAATTCTGACCCTACCATCTGGATGGCGCAGCAAAAAATCAAGACTCATCAGACCATGCAATGTTTTTCCAATCTTCTATTGTCCAATTTGGTTGAGCCCATGCCAATTGCTGTAGCCTATCGGCTTCAAGGTTCAACATGTTTTGCGTTCAGAGATGCTTTTCTGCATGTCTTGTAATAAGTGGCTATTTGAGTTATTGCCTATCAACTCGAACCAGTCTGGCCATTCTCCTCTCACCTCTGGCATCAACAAGGTATTTTCACCCACAGAACCACTGCTCACTGGATATTTTCGGACCATTCTCTGTAAACTCTAGATGGTTGTGCATGAAAATCCCAGTAGATCAGCAGTTTCTGAAATACTAAGACCAGCCCGAAGTCACTAAATAAATCACATGTCTTCCCCATTCTGATGATCAGTTTGAACTTCAGCAGATCCTATTGACCATGCCTAAAGACCATGCCTAAATGCATTGAGTTGGTGCTATTTGTGATTGGCTGATTAGATATTTGCACCAACGAGCAGTTAAACAGGCGTATTTAAGTGGCCGGTGATCATATAACATAGCTACTACACAGATTCACCGATCGACCGACCAGGAACCGGTATCACCCGATTTTCCGGTGACCGGTCGGTCAGTCTCGATCACGTCTTTCCGATGCTGTCCGTTTTGTTGCCAGTGGCCCAAGCAATAACGTCAGCTGCGCGTTCTTGCTCTCTTCTCTCCGACGGCGAAGTGCACTCCTCTCACTCACTCTCACTCTGGTTAAAATAGTGCTTGTATCGCGCATAATTTTACTAATTCCTGCAGGTTTCGCTCTCACATCAAAAGCGCGCGCCACTGTTTTCACAGGATTGTAAATGCAACGCAAATTTTTGTTCATTTACATTTATTCATTTTTAGCATTTAGCAATTTATTTGTAATAAACACTTTAAGTGGGCTATTTAAAAAGTGTTTGTCCTTTATATGTTAAAGCTACAATATGCAATTTTTATTTCGCCGCTAGGGGTCGCTAACCTCTTACAACAACAAAGGCCGTAGATTGATGACGCATTAGCGGAATTATGGAAGTTGTCGTCATGCTGATTGATCTAATAATGTTTATGGATGAGTGAAAACATTGCTGTTTTTAACATGCTTGTGGTATGAAGCAGGGCGCGATTGCTAATGAGAGACATATCAGCGCCATACGCGAGTCCCGCTATAAAGGAATAAGGACATTTCATTGTACCGAACTACACGCAAGTGCTGTATTACTACTCATACAGGTCAGTTTATTAGACGAATGAAACTTGTGAGGTAACGCAGTGCTGTTTCACTTGGTCTACTACACTACCATACTAACCTGCATTTGAGTGTGTTGAAAGTTATAATGTTATTCTATGCGTTAGATTGTTGGCTGTATGAGACTAGCACATAGGCGTAGTTTGCGGGTGGGACATGTCCCCACCACTGCAGGGTCGATATTGTCCCCACCACTTTTGAAACATCTCGCGGCACAGATGTAACTAATACAAATAAATAAAACATCTCTAGTTAACTAGCAGAGCATTCATTTAGTTCGTTTGTTAAATAAGAGGCGATCTAGCGCTGAAATGTGTTGTTTTTTAAATCAAGTGATCAAAGTGCTCATTGCCGCTGCGATCAGTGGCGCGGATACAGTGTTCTCTTGTGGCCAGCGCACGCGCGCTTCAATCCGTTGCGGAGACTCTCTATTCGTTCTGGTGAAATCACAAAGTAAAATGCACACAAACGTGTCCCTGCTTGATATACAACCACTGATAAACATAATCGGTTTTAAAAAAAACTATACGAGTGCAGATTAGAACCCAGAACCTCTGACACGCTTGGCAAATGGACCATTCTGCCAATGGACCATTAAAGTGCATGTGTGTATATGTCGGATCTATGTATTTCTTCACGTGAAAATTCTCGGCACCAACACATAATTATTAGATCTCATTAAACGACAAATTAAACACAATATACTATTTACATCGGTATGTTATTGTACATAGGTACATCTGAATTATGATTTAGCATTGTATTAGCCACTAGACGTAACGCAGTTGTCCACGTCTGTCGCCATGGTTACTATGGCAGTACAAGCGGAAACTAGGGGGTAATCCACCAGCCGGAAACTGAAGTCTCCCCGGGGGCCGCCATTGGCTAGCAAGCCTTCACCTGCTGTTAGCATTCCATTGACTCCCATTCATTTTGGCATCACTTTGACAGCGAATAACTTTACATCTGAAGCGTTTAAAGACTCCATTTGTCCATTGTTTATTTCTAAAGAAACACGACAATGTATAAAAGGCTTCATTACCTTGTATCTTACGTTATGGCCCCGTAGAAGCAGTTTTTGTAAAAATAGGCTAACGATTGCGTCATAACACGCGACTCTCTGTCGCACAGTAGAGAAATTACCGTATAGACAGAAGTAGAAGCTCGCGTGCAATCGGGGGGACGTGGAGGCATAACATCAAGGGAGAAGCCCATAGAGAGTTGTAAAGTTGCTCCTGCTGCTAGCTCATGGACAGCTAATACTCACGATATCCGGCTCTGCAAGATTCGGAAGGGAATGATTCAGATTCCTCTTGGCACAGCTAGAAGACGTACAACTGTGAGACAGGTTGCTCACGTCACATCTACTTCATCAAGCTCAGTGTGAGCCTGCGCAGTGCGCTTGGCAATCAGGAAGTGAGTGCTTCTAATTGACTTCACTTTTCTCCGTTGAAGTCTATGGGGTTGCTGTGTCCATTATAACGGGATAACCATGGGGATAACGCAGATATTATGTCATTGACAGGCGACAAGTGAAAATGGACGAGCCATTATTTAAAATTTGAATTTCTCTGAAATTAAAAAAGTGTGATGTTATATTGTGTGTGCGTAGAACGAATTAGTTCGCAGCCTTTAAAAAAAGTACGCATGCCGCTGTACTCCTGAGCGCAATTCCACCGTAAGTGTAAGGTAGGCACTAAGGCTTTTTGTGTTCATTTCTATTTCCTGTTGCTGTGCAGGCTCTTTTATCGTAGCTTATATGACAGTGTAAACAGCCCAATAACCCTTTTATTTAAAGGCTTAAAGTCGGCATGAAATCAAATTTGACAAATTATATGTAATATTGTAGTGTTTATTATAAATGATTTATCTGTGCACTTCATTATTATTTTTATGTACCCTTCATGCACCTCATGTACCCTTATAATCTTTAATCAAATACATTACCCTTCCCTCCCCTCTCGAAACGATCTCTCCTCTCTTTCGGTCACGTGCCATGGCGAAAGAGTGTGGCCAGAGCCGATGAGGGTGCGGCTATCGGTGCACCGCCTCTCAGAGAACCTGTCAGTGTCAGATTCCTGCCTGAAAATTTAGCTGCTCGTCCTCGTTGTCGTCGCCGGGCTCCTCAATAAAAAATCCTTCATGGGAGGGTAACGGTGGGGAGTCCGGTGGAGAGAAATCCTCCACAACTGAATGTAAACTGGCATTCAAATCTGCCTCCATTTTGTTTGCAACGCCCAACCTCCAACGATCCAATCAATTCCCGAAGGACGAAATCAAGCCCCGCCCTACATTTTTTTCTAATAGAGAGCCTAAGTCCCGCCCCTCCGCTTCCGGCTCATGGGACCTTGTTTCGGAAAAAATATGTATGGTAGTCAATGGCGAGAGACAACTTATCTTTTTATTCCGTCTGAACTGTGCCCTGAATTACACATATGATGTTTGTCAATTTAAAAGATAATTATGAAAGTCAAGAAAGTCGCAGTTTGTCATAAAACAGAAGAGTAACATTTAGTTTTATGTGAAAATCGCTCAATGAACTACATCTCCCGGGAAGCGAAACAACGAGCGAGATCCGTTGCTCGTGTGTGTGCAGTCTTGTACAAAACACTCAGGCATGACGGCGTCACGTTACGATTTTACACCGTAAGACTATAGAAAAAATGACAGACGTTAGCTTCAGTAAAGTTAGCTTCATTCATTGAGAGAAAATGTGCGCCTTGGGGTTTGTAGTCTTTGTAATTACGTATTTTCAAAGTCTTATACCTCAACAGTTTTACATCAAACTGCGACTTTCTTGACTTTAAAATGTATCTTTTAAATTGACAAACATCATATGTGTAATTCAGGGCACAATTCAAACGAGATCAAAATATTTGTTGTCTCTCGCCATTGACTACCATACAATATTTTTCCGAAATAAGGTCCCATGGCGGTCGACCGGAAGGGGAGGGACTTAGGCTCTCTATTTCAGAAGCCGTTTCACTCGGATATACGTCACAACAAGGAAAAAATGACAATCTCAACTTCCGTTTCATGCCGACTTTAATTTATGTCCCACAGACTGGTCAGTTGCATTATGATTAAAAGCAGTCTCAATAATTTCAGAAATGTGATGCAGTCAAGTTCAAGTGTGTGCATGCTGTTTAAACTAGTGTTCTCACCGATATACTTGTGATTCGCGGAATTTTGACGAGTTTTATAGAATTGATATTAATTGTTTCTTATTCAAAAGTGAAACAAAAAAACAGCACCCCCAACCTAAAACATATTCCTGCGCCCCTTCATATGTTGTGTAACAGAATATTGGACATAAACTCTTAACGTGACAGCAGCCTACAAAAGACAAATAAAATAACTCTGTCTCTGCTCTTGACTGAATACCTTTTGCAACTAATTGTAAGCATCAATCTGTATTTTATTTTATTTTTTTACAAAGACTATCCAGTGTTATTTTACATTTGATTACTTTAATTTCTGTAGTATTTCTGACCTGAATATGCCACTGTTAGACCCACCTGAAAAACTTAAAGCCATTTTTATTTAATATCTCTCTTTTTTCTACTGCATTTGTTTGCATCTGTGCATCTCTTAACACATTGTACGTAGACTGAAGACAAATAAGCTATAGAAACAGAACACCAGCTGTCTCTACACAGGGAACATTGACCTCTTTTTCTTGCTGGTGACATAAAAATATACTTAAATATGGCAGTGATATTTTATTAACCAAGCACCATGTTCTGTCTCCATCCACAGGGAAAGTCCATCACTTAGGCCTACCTTCAAAAACCTTGACTGCACTGTGTGGGACCATCTGAATTATATAGTTGTAAGTTAAAAATATAATTTAATATGACTGAATCAACCTCATTAGGTAAGGTTAGAAAACCGAAAGTCAATTGTATAAGGCTCCAGTCACACAGAAATGTTCCTTTAAGTGCAGAGTTTCACTTTCTACATTGTATAACCCAAGGAGCGTGGCATGGTATGTTGTAATAGTCACTTGGGTAAATCTCCTTTCATCCATTCTTCTCAGCTAGAGAAAATCTACCCAGCTGAGGATTCACCGCCTTGGCATATGACATTACCTGCTAGCACAGCGAGTGTTTTTTAGCCAAAGTGCATGTGATGTCTTGTCAACAACCCTTAGGTTGTTTATATCTGGAACTGTCTTAAAAATAGGCCCAGAGGATTATGGTGCACAGCGCAGCGCTTCAGATATCAGGAAAGAATGTGAATCTGGTAAGAATACAAGCAGTTGCAGAAAGTGGGTCAAAATGAAAGCAAGGTGTTCATGGGTTCTCTCTGGCTGTGCAAACAGATGATTGTGAAGGTCACCAGATATTTGATTTGCTTCAGTGATAATCTGCTTGTTTTTATTTTTTGGAAGTGTGCCAAATTATGCAATCTGTTCATTTCCTTTATGTTGCAATGAAAAGGGCAGTTTGAGGTGATGGCTGGTCTGGCAGAGAAAGCACAACTAATGCACTCAGATAATTAATGTGCTCACATAAATTTAATGATTAGTCCTGCATACTTACAAATGCATATTTTTATTAAGGTAATTCAAGTAGCAGATTCCATTTGAAAGTCAACAAGAAATCAAAATGAAGCCTATTTAATTTCTTAATGCATGTTCCTGGTTTTATTGTGCTTCATTCATTAGTGCATGTTATTCCAAATTGAAAAAAAATATATATATATATATTTTTTGCAGTAATCTTTATAATATGAATGAAATTTTTTCATGTCCTTACATAATGCAAATTAAGTATGTGGGCATCATTTTAACTAACTTGCGTTTCTGTTCTGGCTCTTTTCGGTGGGTAACACCCACTTCTCACTGTCCAATCAGTTTGCAATATTTAAAATTAACCCCCACCCAACATTTTTTTTCTTGTTCAATATCCAGTTGCAAACTTAATCGTAGCTAAGCCAAGATGGCAAGGCCTTTTTTACAGTCTCAATTCAGTTAAAGTTAATCCATCACTGCTATGTGTCCTGTTTCCAATTTTCTTCCTCTTTCTTGACAAATCTTGATATCTCTCTCTCTCTCTCTCTCTCTCTCTCTCTCTCTCTCTCTCTCTCTCTCTCTCTCTCTCTCTCTCTCTCTCTCTCTCTCTCTCTCTCTCCTCTCCCCCCCCCCCCCTCTCTCTCTCTCAATCAGCAAAAGAGCTCAGATTCTGAGAAACGACAGCTCATTCGCTTGCTCATTTCTTAGAACTTGTAAATTGACAAAAATGCCATGTCAATTCAACCCACCGAGGCCTCCGGCTCTTAATCTTTTGCTGTCCATTAGAGAACATGACAAGATAAATTGCTGTCACAGGCACTGTGTGAAAGAAGGTGCGCAGGTTCCCAGCTGGTTATTTCAAAAGAAGAAAATCCTCAATCTCTTAATAACAAACCCTGCGGTCAGGGAAAATAAAGAAGGGAGGATTAATTCGCAGCTGACCCATATTTCCTTGTTTGAATTAAGATTATTAGAAGCTGCCCAATTTATTTGTGTACAAGAAGCATGTAGTATGTATACGTAAGACTGCAATGTATTTTGTTTAAATGTTATTATAAATATTATAACGAGCAGCAAAACAGTTATGTGTGCAAAAGTAAAAGTTACTCACAGACGGAACAATAAAGTTCAATAACCTCACAATATTGTTGACTAAAACTTCTGAAGGGTTTATAAAAATGCACAGAGCATCTCATCGACTCTCACAGAGTTAAGATTGTTTGGAAACAAGCATGTTATTATGTTTTAAATCACCCATAATCAACATTTGATATGGAGTTTTGCATCTCATGAGAGGAGTGCATGTTTAGTTTCCAGTCTTCTCATCTGTTAAAAGCAACGGTTAATCCAGACAAATGGCATCAAAACATCTCTCTCGAATGACCTATATCTCTCTGATACTGCTTTGACTTCAACACACGCATACACAGCGGTTTACTGAGTAGATTTTATTTCATTCATAAATCAAATCATACAGAGCTGGGACAGAAATCATGCTAATTAGAAATTAATTTAAGCAGTGATATGTAAAACAATCCATGTTGAATCAGATGGAAAAGGAATTAGAAAAAGAAAAACCTACAGTAACCCAGTGCTACTACACAATTTCAATGAGCATTAGTGCCTGACTCAAGGACAGTAGATCAACAGGATTGGTGACATTGAGAGATCAGTCACACAGATCAGAAGTGCAGCAGTAGGTATTCACTCCAGGCACACAGAACTCCTCGCATGTCCTGGAGAACTCAGTGGCTGCGGTTAAAAACATATCAAGAAAAACAGGTCAATTATATCTAGAATACAGAGTAAAAAAAAAATTACATTTTCCTTTTTTTAATCACCAGTGGAGGGGTAATAAATATGAAGCTGTTTTAGGGTCATTATCACGAACTAGAACTAAAAAAAAACCAAAAAACATTCAAAACATTAAACTTATTTTATTTTAGTTAGCTGCCAACATTTACATTTAGTTGAAGTTGAAGTACTAAAATACATAAAACTAAAATAAAAAACTAAAACATACAAAGACTATAGATATTTAAAAAAACTTAATTTTTTTTAATAAAAATTATATGAAAAATAATAAAATATGAACAAAACCTATAATAGTATTTCAATGATAGCCTATTAAAATGATACACACTACTGACTATTGAAAATATTGTTTGCTTACCTGTTGCAACCGTTTTGCAGAAATTGCTTGAGGTTGGGCATTCAGTTGGGGTCTTGCAGTCCCCGTCCACACAGGTGTAGCATTTCAGCGAGTGCACTGATGAGAGATTACATATTAGACAAATAGATGATAATGGTGACATTTTTCTGCACTTTATCAGAGTATTTTCAATTTTTACATTCCAAACTTACTCCGAGATAGCTAGGAATGTCCAGTTCGTTATATTAGATAGATAGATAGATACATAGATGGATAGATACATACATAGAAAAAATCTTTTTTCTTACCTGATGCGCTGCAGAGGAGCACCACAATAAAAGCACACACTAGGGCCTTCATGATGAAAACTGGTCTGGTCACGCAGAGGAACGTGATTCTTTATATACCTTGGGTACACCTTTTACAGTAAATACATTCTTCCTAACGCAGAACAGTAATGCAGCATGACAGGTTTCATGTAACTATAGATGTCAGCTTAGTTCCTTGACAAGGAAGTACAATTATTTTGTACATTTCTGGTAATTCTCTGTGCTTGTCTGTCCTTGAGCCTTGATGCAAGATCCAAGAACTTCTATCAAGCCTGTAACTCTATATGGCATCTTTTTCTAACCTTTTCAACTCTTTTATCTATCCTCTGTCATCTGATAATTTAGTTATTTTAGGACTAAGATCAAAATCTATTTTCCAGCATAACACCCTCAGGAATAAACCATTTGATGTCACTTTTTTCAAATATGACAACTAACTCTGAACTGTTTTGACTGTGCTTCTATTTTATTAGAATTCTTTAGTACAGTTATTGAAACCAGTGTTGGGGGGTAAATGCATAACAAGTAACAAAAGTTACATTATCAGATTACTTTTTCCAAGTAACTAGTAAAGTAACTACTTTACTTTTAAAACATTATGATGCTTATTGATGCATGTGATGTTTATTGTAGTTCTAGACTAAATGTAAGCATGCATTTACTCATCTCACTTTCACAAAAACCGATTCATATTCCCCAAAAGGAACTAAAACAGTGAAATAAAACAAATATACTTTATGCATTTTAATCTCACTTTATTAACCAATGTCTTTGCTGCTGATCTTCGATTACCTGATTCAGCCATACTAATAAGCAAAGATGACTTTAGATAAACATAATTTTGTGTTGAACTATCTTTTCCTGCATCCTATTCAATTCAGAATGGCTGCGCCCTCTACAGACATGAATTTGCATTTTCTTCAGCCTGAGGATTATTCATTTCACTTTTGGCCTTTAAAATAGATTTGTTTTATTAAACAAGCAAGCCCAGCCCAGGTGAGAAAAGTAGCACAAAAGTATGTAACATTACTTTCCATAAAAAGCAACTATTAGTTATTTTTCGGGAGTAACACAATATTGTAATGTATGACTTTTAAAAGTAACTTTCCCCAACACTGATTGAAACCATAAACCACCATATTTTTTGTGAGATGGGCATCTAAAGTGCAGAACCCCTAAATTCAAATTCCGCCTGCATTTCTAAGCCTGTCAGGAAAACCATCCAATTAATCTTCCCACCAACAATCCTCTGGTGTTCCACAGGGATCTACTTGGACCACTTCTCATTCTGTACTAAATCACTCAGTTATTTCATAACCTCTCATGGCCTCTTACCTCTTATTAAGAATGCAAATCTCATCTCAAAATAGAAATTACAGGCCAGCTGGCAAAATGATCTCTAATAGCATGGACCTTAGGGCCATGAGGCCAAGTGAATTCAATGCTTATTACAGCTGGGGCACGGACAGGCCTTATGGGTAATCTTTCTGAAGATTGGTATTGTATTGTTTTTAGGCATTGACATTTCCATAGACGTTTGAGGCAAGTTATTGCTTTGAGGAGAGATCTTAGGGGATAGGAGGCAATTGCCAATGTTCAGCTCTCTACACTAAAGTCAGGTTGCCAAATATGAAGAATATTGTCCACTTGAGAAACCAAATCAGAAATTTCACAGCTTAACACAAAGTTGCCATGAATCTGGATAAGACAATGGATTAATAACTTAGTTAGAGCAAGTATTGTTCATTAAACATTTCGATTTCATTGCTAGTAATCACAATTTTGATTTAAAAATTGCACTGTATATCTTGATGATAATATATGAGATTAGTAATTTAAATATGTAATTTTAGTAAATGAAGATTTGTAATCTATATGAGGTATCTGTGAAAACAAAGAATACCTAAAAACCCATAATGATCTTGAAATCATTAGGTAATTGCTGTAATGTGGAGATTAAAAACACAAGGGTCTAACTAACACAGACAGCAGGGGGCAACAAAGATCAAAAGTAATTAGACAAACATTTAGCAAATACGTGGCCTGCATGGCCTTCATAAAAAAAAAAGGTAAAAATAATACTGGAACACATATGGATTAATGTGTTTATAATAAAGGGGTGGTTCACCCAAATAAAGATTTTGTCATTTACTCACCCTCAAGTTGTTCTAAACCTGTACGAGCTGTTCTGTTGAACACAAAAGAAGATATTTTGAAGATTGTGGGTAATCAATGGTCGATGGTCCCTTTTTTCATATATGGAAGTCAATGGTGCCTGTGCCCCACAACTGTTTGGTTACCCACATTCTTCAAAATATATTTTGTGTTCAACAGAGCAAAGAAACTCATTCAGGTTTAGCACAACTTGAGGGTGAGTAAATGACAGAATTTCCATTTTTGGGTGAACTAGATGTATGTTTTTTTTATATACTTCAAATGTATCATTGCATATATGCAGTTTTAAGTAGAATCAGAACCAGATTTCATGCAATGCACTTAAGACAAAACATTGTTTTAATTGAAATATTTCAGTTTAATATACAAAGCTTGTGTTTTATAATTAATGCTTAAGATAATTATGACTTTGGTAGAAGAACATTAGCAATCCTCAGCCTAAACATCAATCTATCCATCCGTCTCTCGCTTCTCTTTAGTTATCCATCCATCTATTTATTCATAAACCATACATCTATCGATCCATTAATTCATTTTTTAATAAAAGCAATTTATTGGAAAGCTTATAGATCTCTAGGCCTATACCACTTAACAAAATGAAATCTTCTAATGTAATTTGATGCATTAAATGAATTGCTAAAAGTTCCATTTTGTAAGCAATTTAATTCCTGTATAAATAATCACTTCAATAAAACATTTGGGATTTCATTTTGCTTCTAAGAATACAGGTGACAGTGATCATGACTTGTGATTTGCCAGGGTTTATGGTTGAACTTTAGAATAGCACAATTTACAAACTTCTTCACAGGCTTTTAAGCAAACAAAGTTGAGTGTTTTATGGTTTTGAACTATGTGTTGGCCATGTGACCTTCTGAAGGGGTTCTGCAGTGACACCTCACAATTCCTTCACCTGTGCCAATGACATCCAGAGGAAAATGTCTAGAATTTAACAGTCTGTCTTGCATCAAGCAACTTGCAAGAATATAAATAAAACAAGCACAGTAAGAAAATTAAGAAAATAATTGAATCTGTAAATTTAAAGGCTAATACATAGTAGTTTATTAGAATTCATATTACTTAAAAGTCATTTATGGAAACAGCCCTAGTAAATTAGCAAGCACTGCAGTACCATTGACAGCCAGCAGATACTACCATTGAGCCAATCACGTGTAAGTCCATGACTTATTTTGTTTGCATTTCACAGATAAAATAGCTAAAAATCTCCTCAGAATGCAGTTGGTCAAAAAAAAACCCACAATTATCATTTAAACAACCCAACAACATCTCTGAAATAAATGACACCATTTGCAAAGTGAAACAGTCTGAAGGGGCGAGTAGTCCGGTCTTGCTGCTTAAAAAAAGTCATTCTCTCTTCCAAAGCGCAATGTAGTGACTAATGGATAACAGAAAACTTCTGATTTCCCATCTCCCTCTGTAAATGGCAGAAACAGAGTGTCCTCCATTAGGCTCCATAAATCTGAGCTGATGTGACAAAGGGTAATGAAGCAGCTTTCTAATCGGCCTGCCCACGGCCCCCTCATGTCACACTGCAGACAGGCCTGTTTCCAAATGCAGGAATGGTTAACAGATTACCGAACAAAGCTAAAGTTAAACACACAAACATTTATTCCCAGAGCCAGACAACGGCATCACGTATGTCAATAATGCTATACGTGAGTGAAGGTTTCGCTAAATGCAGCTGAAAGTTGCTAGCATTTATAGAAATCAATAATACAACACCCGACAAGTTTAATGAAAGAAGACTCTGTAATGATCCCATTTATCCTCGAGCTAAATACGCCTAACCAGAACCTCTGAAAAAGAACAACGAGTCCATATCGAAATGCTGTTTAATTATATAAGTGGCTCTGTTTTATAAGAACAAGAACCTCTTCTAAATTTGGGAGTTGCGCTTTACCCTCTTAGGAAGGTGTGTGGAGCAACTGCAGCAAGATGACATTAAACTCTCAGCTTGTCCCATGTAGCCTACATGTGTTCCTCTTGTCCTTGTCTCTGAATTGGAACAGAGCTTACTACAGCAAGACCTGGCTTGCGCTTTATCACATAAACCTTCGGTATACCTAATCAAATAACCACCCGGGCGTGAAAACATATTCCACTCTGTTCACGTAGCCTTGCGATGAGTGCCTTGCAGAATCAAACAGGACACGGGATTAAGTGATGGAGTCGGAGTCTTCCAGAGGGCCTCGTGCTACAGCGATTAGGAGAGAGGTATTACTGAGATTGTGGGCGGTACGACACATAAAGAATGGGGACAGAAGTGCAAAGTAGCTCTCCAAGACCCATCAGGTGCTCATCTGTTGAAATATCGCCTCGTGGTAGAGGTTTTATAAAATAACAATGCCTGGAGCTTTTATTTACAGCAAATTTCACACCTGAAGGTATATTGTAGCAGCTGAATTTGGTCAAAGAAGAAAATAATGTTGATTTGAATTTTTTTTTTTAATTAGGAAAATAAACCTTAAACCTGATAAAAAATTATATATACATTCACCTAAAGGATTATTAGGAACACCATACTATACTGTGTTTGACCCCCTTTCACCTTTAGAACTGCCTTAATTCTAGGTGGCATTGATTCAACAAGGTGCTGAAAGCATTCTTTAGAAATGTTGGCCCATATTGATAGGATAGCATCTTGCAGTTGATGGAGATTTGTGGGATGCACATCCAGGGCACGAAGCTCCCGTTCCACCACATCCCAAAGATGCTCTATTGGGTTGAGATCTGGTGACTGTGGGGGCCATTTTAGTACAGTGAACTCATTGTCATGTTCAAGAAACCAATTTGAAATGATTCGAGCTTTGTGACATGGTGCATTATCCTGCTGGAAGTAGCCATCAGAGGATGGGTACATGGTGGCCATAAAGGGATGGACATGGTCAGAAACAATGCTCAGGTAGG